AGGAAAGCTGGAGGTTATTTAGTACTCTAGGTTTCAATCAGAATTCGCTTCGCATTTAATGCCAACGAAAAGAGCGCATGTCCTCTTTTTCAGCTTTTCTTACGTTAGCGCGTGAAACTACTACTTATTAAAGTGAAAGTCATCACTTAAATGCAACACAATTTCCATTCCCCGTACACAATAATTACTTGCAATATTAGCCGGAACAATGCTAAAATATGCCCATCTGGCGCGTCTGAAAGCACCAAGCATCGGCCGATTTGCACATTAGTAGGTAGAATGAGCAGTCTAAAATAAGAATCCTTGATTTCATTGCGCGAGTTCTGTATCCTATACGATCGACAATTCCGACCACCACCAGTGGTTTTAATTCGTAATTTCCGACTACTGACTTCCTGTTTTTGTCGGTTAGCCGTCCATTATAGTCTTGGTAGCTTGAAGATCGCTGTTCATTGTGTTCGATATGGACGCATGAAGCATTGCCATTGGACCATTTAAAAACTCCGTTATACGGTATGGGTTGTGACAACAGCGGATTTTATTCTTTCTTCTGCTTTTCTACCCTTAACGCACAGTACCTAAAGCAGGGGTCTATCGTCATTCAGGTACAGCTAATATGATATTGCGTATGCATTTTTTCGCTCGCAATCCAAGCCAAAAAATGCTATAAGAGTGCCATATGGCGAGTCTGGAAGCATTGCTCCTCGCCTAATTTACACAGCCAGAAGCTCCGAGCATTATATATGGTAGATACGATGCAGGACTTTATTGCCTTTTATTTCCGATGGGGTAGACGTAATGGTACACAACCGTAGTAACTTTTCATTGAAAGTAACTGGCCTTTGCTATTTCGACTTGTTAGTTTTTCAACCGCAAGAGCTGACTGCCCTGGGCGATGGACTTGCAAAGTCAGACACACCAGTGACGGACCCATACACCCAGATAAGCATCAAGGCAGCCTTATCCACACTGCCGACTGAAGACGTTGGTCCATTTTCCTACGTGACGGCTTACATTGAACCTCCAAGTCGGCCATCCTCACACCACGCGGATGACTCTCTGTCCAGAAGGCGTCGGCCTTCGGAGAACTCCCCATTTAAATACGGCGTATGTTTTTCAAAACATTTTTTTGAATTCCTGAGGTAGCGGTTTTGATATCTCTCACTTAAAGAATCGCGATTGTTACGATACTCGGATGTCCACTAGTTTATTGACCCCAGCACAGAGCTTTGATTTAAGTAGTGACGTGCCTTTTCGTGATATAAATCGACGACTTAATAGCTTATTTTCTGCCTTCGCGGAATTCTAATGAATGCAGCGGATTGAGTAATCATGATATCAGCCATTCCCTCCTGTCTCTAACGATTATATTTAAACTTGTTTGATTACGTCTGCCCAAAAAAAATCGATAGAGTTCAGCACGGATGCCCTTGGACATGGAAATATGTGGTTCTTTTCCATTTTCGAATGTTCCCTATGGTGGGCGTACTGTTATATTCCCTCCAAACGAATAAGCTCCATGCTTCTCAATTGCCTGATTGTCTACGATGTATACCTTCAAAACCCTCGTTTGTTCCGAGGTATCTTACCTTATGTTGAAAAGTTCGTTATATTGACGCTACATTGGCTAGTTATAGGCGTTCTGGTAGTTTCAATATGATGTGTATCGTTATTAATCTCCATGATTTTCTTTCACTGACAATCGTGCGAGGCGTTCCTTAGTGAATTTGTTCGCAAGCTTCGGTGAGCTTTTGCAGCGGGTGGTTCGAAAAATGCGCTTTCACTCTTTAATCTGATGTGCAAGTTCCTGGGACAGGGGCGTTAACTCGTTATTCAGTATTTGACCTTGTGGATATGCTGAGGCGTTAGCTCACTATGAATAAGTTCTACTCGGGAGATGTTGTTATTATCGCTGTCGATTAGTGGTTCCTACAACTCGGAGAATGCAACTGATAATTGTCTTTTCGTCCGAGAGTTGGGGGGTATTACAATTGTGAAAGTGCTGCTTTTTGGCAATTAAAAATTCAAGGTTCAGGTGTAATTTCTGGCATGGCGCTGTGTGCAAAATAACGAACATTTTAAGTTCCACCAACATTCATATACATTATTTGAGAAGTCAATCTGGTAAACATATGCCTTCAGCAGAT